CTTTCCCTCCCTCCAGCAAGTGCACATGCACTATGGGGGTGGGAGGGTGCAGAAGAAGAAATCACATTTCCAGTTTATAAAAATTAGCTTTGAGAAAGACCTCTCTTCTAGACAATTATACTCTCAAGAAATCTGTTTAGATTGCATTGGGCTAGTAAGAAAACATAGAGGAAGTTTTAGCAGTAGAAGAATTAAACCTTTGTGAACAATGCCTTTGAATGTGGCTTCGCTCTTCTAGACAGTTGTACTTTTAGATGCCCCCAGAACTGAAATCAAAGATATAGTGCCTTCCACTGGGGAAGACTTAGGGAAGTGATAAATGCCTGTCAGCTCTCTTCCAGTGATTGAAGGAGCTTACATACATCAGATTTCAATTCTTGAGATACAGTTGGTTTGATTCTAAATTACCTTTTTTTTAAGCATATTTACTGAGAAAGAAAGAGGGGGGAAAAAAGCACCTTCAACATAGTCTCATTACATCTCTATCCCCCTTCTCCAGCCCCCTAAGTCCTCAGGATCTCAGGCACTGTGCACACATGCCTAGTTTATTTTCAGGCCCACCTATAATCCAAACCAACAGTCGCCCATGTGACTTCCAGAATGAGAGCTCAGTTGGCTAACAACTGTACCACCAGGCTAGATCCAGCTTGATTCTATTCTCTAATCCTAAAGCCTTCCTTAAAACCCTCTGTTTTGTAAATCTCCATCATTGGTGATACTGGAAACCAGTATAAAAGTTAGACTATGGGCATCCCCCATCCATAGCCCTGCAGTTTTGTTTTGTTTTTGTTTTGTTTTTTTCCTGCCTCCATCCCCATCTCCACCCAACCATCACTGTCCTCCTCCTCACTGGTAAAGGTGAAAAGTATACAGAAGCCTTCAAGATCTCAAGGGAAGTGACCCCACCCTGCTTCTCTCTTGGCTCCCTCTGGTCCATCCTTCAGGTCTCCTGACTATTCCTCAAGCACTCCAGGCACACTCCCATGATGAGCCCTTTCCTAGACCTCTTTTTTCTTTGACAAAAAAGCTCCTTGGTTAACTCCTCATGTCTTCTCAAGTGATGCAACTTTCTCCCCAAAATCATACACGGCCTCTCTAACATACACAGAAGCACCCTATCCTTCTTATTCTGCCCTAGTTTCCTAGTTTCATATTGCACTTATTTTTTAAATAATTATTTTATTTAACTTTACTTATCACTATCATTATTTTTTAACTTGACCAGAGAAAGACAGAGAGAGAGGGTGAGGGGCAAGAAAGCAAGCCACCAGGTCCAGGACTCAAACTACAGTCACCCATGTGGGAGTCCAGCATCTCCACCTGCTGGCCCCGCCTACATTGCACTTACTACCTTCTAATAGTTTCCTTATTCTTTATACGCATTGTTTATTTTCTATCTCCATCCAGCTAAAAAAAACCCTTGCCTACTCTGTTAGGGCAGGGGTCTTCATCAGCTTTTTTTTTTTTTTCGTTGACAATTCCTGAAACCATACCTGGTACAGAGTAGGCACCACCTAAATATTTATTGAAAGAATGAATGAATGCTCTGTGTGGATATGACGAATAAGTTCTCGGGATATTCTCTGGCAGCAAAAGAGAGTGTGTATAGTTCACGCCCCACACTTGAAAATGGCAACATTGCATTTCCAAACATGCTTCTAGCCATACCAATTTAGTGCGGCCTTTTAGTCCAACAACCTGAATTCAAATTGTACATGTGATATCTCTGAATCCCTATTTCCTTTCATATAAAATGAGGATATAATGATGGTACCTACTTTTTAAGGCTATTATGATCATTAAATGAGATATAGTATATGAAAGACTTAGCACAACGCTTGGCACATAGAAAGCTCTCAATGGATAACTGGTTATTAACACTACTAGTGCCTGACATTGTAATACAGACAGATGGGTATGCATACATCCTTTGTTACATAGAAAGATACGCTGACCCTCTAAAAAGCCATTATTCTGTAATTCATATTGCAATCATTCGATTTCCCTGGTTAATAAAAATTGGTCCATGTAACAGATGAGATAGCATAGAGACATAATTGATACTTCCTACAATAAAGGACAAACCTGGACAAACCCAGTTGAACAAGGCAATTTCTGCCCTGGATGGCTGTTTTCTCTTTAAGCTTTGGCTATGTTTCCGTTTTCTACTCATGTGTCCATTTGTAAGTAGTGTATCTCTCTATAGGTAGCCAGCTGGTCTGTCCAGCCAGCTGTGGAGAAAAATCAGGAGCTATTTAAACACAATTCTTGCTTTGCCTCTAATTTGACTTAGGAGGAAAAATTTAAAGAATGAATATTCTAAGTAGCAAATGTATAGAACATGACCCTTTGAAAACAATTTTTTTAAAGTGCTCACTGAAAAGTGTTTATTTAGCACAAAGGGAAATAATATGGTAGGGGGATTATTACCTGCCCTTTTCAAACTGGCCAATCTTGAAATACAGAATGGCTTTCTGAATTATATCTGAGTCTCTCCAGGTACTGGTATTTCTTTATGTGTAGGAAAGGTATGCAAACATTCACATCTCTACTTTGGATTTTTAACTAATTTTACACTTTTCTCAGGAAAAAAAAAAAGAAGAAGGTATAATGCAAAAGTTATTTTAGATGTGGAGTTAACGCAAACCCTTCAACACATTCCTGAAGGTGCCAGCCTCATCCTTATAACCAGCTTCAGAGCATTCAGGTGTTCAGCATAATTTGCACTCTTATTGCAGTCCTTTTGCTGCGGCTGGGCTTTTTAATATTATTTTATTTTTTCCTTACCTTGAAACTAGTTTGCCATTTCAAAGCAAAAAGGAACTACTGACAAAATATGATGGTGTTTTATCCTCTACTTAAATTATAAGCTTTCTTCAAATATTTACTCTATTTTGGGGGGTCCTGGTTTGATCATGGATGGAGGCAAATGCATCCTTAAAGCAATAAAAGTTGAGTCTGCATTTTTCTAGAGAACTTTTAAAACTTCACATTCGAGCACAGTGTTTCTTCTTGACATTAATTGGGTGGCAAATTAACTTTCCCTTCCCTTTCTGTTTTGTTTTCTGCTTCTAGTGACAGTGGTGTTGTTTGCAGCTCTGAGGCGGCAGCGAAAAAAAGAGCCTTTGATCATTTCCAAAGAGGACATCAGAGATAACATTGTCAGTTACAACGATGAAGGTGGTGGAGAAGAGGACACTCAGGCCTTTGATATCGGCACCCTGAGGAATCCCGAAGCCATAGAGGACAACAAATTACGCAGGGACATTGTGCCCGAAGCCCTTTTTTTACCCCGACGGACTCCAACAGCTCGAGACAACACCGATGTCAGAGATTTCATTAACCAAAGGTTAAAGGAAAATGACACGGACCCCACTGCCCCGCCCTACGACTCCTTGGCCACCTACGCCTACGAGGGCACGGGTTCGGTGGCGGATTCCCTGAGCTCGCTGGAGTCGGTGACCACGGATGGAGATCAAGACTATGATTACCTTAGTGACTGGGGCCCTCGGTTCAAAAAGCTCGCGGATATGTACGGAGGGGTGGACAGTGACAAAGACTCCTAATCTGTTGCCTTTTTCATTTTCCTATAGGACACTGAAATAATGTGAAGTGGTTCTTTCTTCCTATTTATCCACTACTCCGTGAAGGGTTATCTGTTCTACCCGTTCCAAAAGCCAATGGCTGCAGTCCCTGTGGATCCAATGTTAGAGACTCTTTTCTAGTACACTTTTATGAGCTTCCAAGAGGCAAAGTTTTATTTTTTAGTGCATCCAGTTAACCAAGTCAGCCCAACAGGCACATGCTGGAGGAGAGGGCAGGGAGCAGTATTTTCGCTTGTTCTCTTAGGACAGGTTCAGAACTGGCGCATTTCCGCTGGCCTAGTGTTTCACTACACTCCATTGACTCAGGTCACCTGACCGTTCTAACTGTACATTTCACATGCTAATGGCATAAGGAATTGTGCTTTAATGTTAAAAGTATAATTCTAGTAAGAGAAATGAGGATATGTTAGCTCGCCAGGAGATAAACTACATAAGGGTGTGCATTTCTGTCACAAAGAGTTTAAAATGACACTTGCCCATCCTGATTGTTCCTCAAGACCTTTTTCTGGCACCAACTACTATTCAAAACATCAACTCCACCAATGTTTTAAGATTCTCATTCCCCTTAAGGAATACAAGCAAATTAAATAGTAACATTCAAAAACAACAACAAACTTAGTAAAATTTCTTTCCTTGCCCCTCTTTCATAGCTTGTCATATATTAGACATTCAAAAGTGTGCCCTTGCAGCGTATAAAGAAAAAAGGAAAATAGCTAATAACGTTAACAAAGAACATAATGAAAAATGTTAAAGTTTGGTCCATCAAATGCATCACAAATCACTTGAAATTCATGGAACTATCAGTAGGCTAATGACAAATAAGTCCATTTGTTTACAAATTCTTGGAAGAATTTTCTGAGATAAATTTTAATCCCTTGTCCATAGTTTTCATCAGTACTCTATTTTAAAGTAGCAGACTAAAGTATAACAATTCATATTCTTCAGATACTTGTTAGATAATCAAGTTGACTTAGTAAAATGAGATGAAATAAAACTTAAATTCCAGTTTTGCAGTTCAATGGAGAGGTTAGAGCCAGCTAACACTTGAACCTAATACTGCCCTTCAAATCTGGAAGCATCTATATATTTAAATAACATGGTAGATATAGGTGAACAACATTGAGATCATGGTCCAGACCTACAAACTCCATGTTTGGAAGATGTTTACAAAGGACAAACCTGGATTCCCTTCAACAGAGTGTTTAAGATTGAATTAAAATGATAGTTGACTTTCAAAAGCATTAATATTTTTTCATTGTTTTTAACTTTGCTTCCACGGCAACCCTGCCATCCTTGTCTTTGAACTAATGATAAAGTAATGGTCTCAAACTAAGACAGAAAAGCAATGTAAAATCCATCCAATCTATTATTTCTCTAATTATGCAATTTGCATCATAATTATTATCCAGAGGACCCAACTGAACTGAACTAATCCTTCTGGCAGGTTCAAATAATTTATTTCACATGGCTGTTCTAATGACTTTTATCATTAGAATCTTACATTGTGCAGTCATCAGAAATTTCCAAAGTACTGTAATGAAAACTTCATTGTTTTGAAAACCTAAAAATCAGGCTCTGTAAATATATATATAAAATATCCACTTAAGAATATGCTGACTTCACTTATTAGTCTAGGGACTTATTTTTAATTAATGTTAATTTCCAACAGATAATCTTACTGTTATTTCAATTTGGAGTTAATGTCGTGTTAGCACATATTTTCTGTTTGGAAACACACTATTGTTTAGTTAAAGTTTAAGTAGACTATTAGCCAGGAGGTAAAGAAGGTACCTTCAATACAAAAGCAATGTAGTATTTTGAGTTACCCAATTAGAGTGAATTTTTTTTCAACCATATTGTTCCTTGTGTTTCCTGAATGCTTTCTTGTTTTGTAATGGACTGCCCTGTTTTCTAATAAGTACTTCATGCTTGAGTTATTTCTTATTTTCAAGGTTTTCTTTTCTACTTCTTCATATATACGCAAACATCAATATTCACATTTGCACGTGCACACATACACACACTCACACAGGGATGCAAACAAAACGCTACAAGAGGGCTTCACTGTAATGAATCGATATATATCATAGTCACAGGTAGGCATTAAGAAAAGATAGCTTAGTAAAGTCAGTTAATAAGAACTAGTTATTTATAGCAATAGAGCAGCACTTTAATCACATGATATACTGTAAAATTAAAGAGCCCTCTATCCTTATGTTTCGTGTCATGTAACAAATCAAATCAAGAAAAGAAGTCCTATTGAAAGGAAGGTATCATCAAATACTGTCCTTTTGAACTTTTGGCGTTAACTGGAATTTCTGAGGGCTGATGCTAGTAATTTTCAGTGTTTAAGGGTGAAGTTTACTTTCTCCTGATATGTGAAAGTAAATAACTCAATAGAGGAATATTTGAGCTGTATTGGAAGGGTATTTTTATGCCTCCCTGAAGATGACACAGTATACCAAGAACAGGTTAAAATGGCTGAATATTGAAATAATTCTTTAATCTCTTACCACAAAATCTAATGATGAAGTAAATCTTCAGGAAATTGGATAACTTGAGACTGGAGCTGGAAATGTAGTACTAGGGTCCTATAAATATCAAGGAGGAGTGATATTTAACTATAATTAAGACTGATAGCATTTGAACAGTAAGAGTCACAGTTCCTTCATTCTCTTTTCTCTCACTTCCTTCACACAAAAATATTGGGTCAAACACAATTTCATGTGTAGATGTTTTACTGCTTGGTCCCAGGTCTACTTGAAATACTGCTAGAAGGGGAAAAAATAGTTTCAGCTCAATTTTCACATTGTCTATGTCCTGATTTTAGATGTTGGTGTTGAGAAAAATGGAAGGAGACTGGAAAGAAGTAAAATTTTAATATTTGCTTTAATCATTGAGAAACCAAATTTCATTAACTATAAGCAAGATTGCCTTGGGAGGACTGTTTCAAGGATGTTGAGACCTTCCTGACAATTTTTCCCCTTCATTCAAGGGGAAGAATTTCTTTAAACCAGTTGGTGTTTGCGAGAATAAGCCAACTTTTAAAAACATTAAGCCATTGTGTGTAAGTTTAAAACCCCTTCACTTCTTGGCTGCTTTCTGCTGAAAGATCTGAAAAACAAATGTGCCCAAACAAGTAAATCAAATGGGAGAGAAGCAAAGATGTTTCCACAGAACCACAAGAAAGATTCGGAATCTGGGGCTAGTAAATATATATATATATATATATATATCTTTCAGAAATTTCCTGACTTTATGGTTTGGCTGCATAGAGGGAGCTTCAGCTACAAAATTACTCTATTTTCAGATGGAACAAAACCTGGCAATTCAATTCAAACTTAATACAAAAATGTGAGGTTTAGTTTTCATTTTCAGCTCTCAAAATATTGTGCGAAAAGTTCTCAAAAACAGAATCTGTATCTCACTGGGTTGTCAGAAAAGTTATGATACATTTTTGCATAGAAAAAACAGAAAAAAATACATCATGACTTTTCTGACAATCTAATATAAGCATCCCAAAAAAATTTTTTAGAGGCTTTTGCCACTTTAAAATAGTTCCTTTACATTATTTTTAAGTATAAAAATTGTAGATGTCCCGGTTTGCTAAATAATCTATTATATCAGATGCTTAGCTTTGAAATAAATATTTCATGGGGGATAATAATGTATAAACTACAATTGGGCATTCCTAGATTCTGTACACTTGAGCCCCATAAAAAAGCATGAATTGAAAGGAGAGATCAGAGTTAATTCCTGGGTACAAACTAAATATTTAGCCAATACTCATCCGATAAGCTAAATCCATTTTTCCCAGGAAGAAGCCACCAAATAAATTCTTTTATCCTAGTCTAGTTCTGAAGGGGTATAATTACTTTAGAAGAATGCTCTCAAAAGTCTTGATCCCCACTGTTATGAAAGGTATCCTCTGAAAAGGATGACTTTAGTGTAATTTTAATTTTTATGTCTTATCTAGATGAAATCTTTTTTTGAATTGTGACACTGTGGCAGGGGATTCGAAGTCCAAGCAGTCCGCTGTGTTCAAATTAACACTACAACCCAGTCTTCTTTATCAGATTACGAGTATAAAGATTAACACTTGGAATGTGAATCTTCAAAAAGATGAACTATTTCCTAAGCTCTGAAAAGCAGTTTTCTTTTCCAGAGAATAGAGAATTGCAGAATGGTCTCCTTAAAAGTACAGTGACTGTTACAGTTGTAGCATTTTTAATCTCCCTTTGGCATCTTTATGGAATAATTTTCTGAAGGGATAATTCTCTGCTAAAAATATCAGCCCCCAACCATATTTAATGTGGAGAGCAATACCCTCTTAGAAAAGAAATACATTGACTCATACACTTGTTAAAAGTTAATAAAGAAATAGCTCATTTTTAAAGCCAGAAGTTTATGGTCTCGCATCATCAATTTAATTTAAGCATTGCTGAGACAATCTTTAATCTACTCCCCATTTTGTAATACCTTATTTATGATGCATTTTCATTTTTTAATTTGGGGGGGAACGTTAGTCCTACAGAAACAGCAGATGAAAGTGATGAAAGGAGGTCAAATGGAAACAAAGGCTATTACCCACTGTATTTCAGACAGGACTGAGGCACTTGCCGAAGAGCCACTGGGTTATTAGATTAATTTCAAAAGAGCTTTTACAAGTTGCTTAATTCCATTTTTTTAAAAACCCATGAACCACAAACTCAAATTTCTCCTCAAATGGGGTTAATTTGACAAATGAGGCATGGACCCAGCGTTGTGGAAAAAGCATTCCACTATAATGAGATCTTGGTCTTTCTTGTGAGGCTCTGCTATTTATGTAAATATGTCTGGAGGCACCTTCTCTAAGCTTTTAGTTTTCTATGATCTAGTTTAGTGTTTATTAAAGAATCAAATGTATAGAATTACTAGGCATTCAGGGAGAATGCTGTGTAGCAAATGTAAGACTGATTTGCTCAGAAGAAACATAGGAACTCTTCGAACCCACTGTACTGTTTTGTTTGTGATTATTTCATTGCTTTGAGAGTAACTTGCATAAGAATAGGCCTTATAATAAATGCTACTTGCGTCTTCGATAGTACCAAGCTAAGGCAATTTGGCATTCTACTGTGATTTGTGATTTTAAACCCATAAAATAAAAGCCTTTTGGTATCGATTGTTTTTAATTAAAAATACTTCCAAGTATAAATTGAAACTGATGCCACTCTTGAAGATCTACTGGCGGGAGTGCTCTGTTCATGTCGTTTTTTCACAGTATCATTCATGTCGCTGGGAACAAGAACACCTGATGGAAACAGTCACTGCTCAGCCTCCGTCAACAGTTCTAGTGAGGGAGATTTTCATAATTTCACAGTTTACATGAGAGTTTTCTGTATTGAAAAAATGAGGTTGAGACAATTACCTTTTAGCTCAGATTGGCCGGGTCTTTTGTTATAGTTAAATGGCAAATACGCATTCCTCGAAATGCTTCTTTTATTTTGTTTTGTTTTCTTAGACTTATAAATTTGAAAAGAATGCAATTTAAAAAGTGATTTCTCACCAAGAGTAAATATGCCTTTTGCAACTCAATTTTTGTAACAAGTTATTTATATGATATTACTTAATAAACTGGTTTTTTTCTAACTTGTTTTTTTTTCTCTCAAACTATTGTAATAACAGTTTTTTTTAAAATGCACATGCTGACACACTTTATCTTTCTGAATCTGCTGTTTTAACCTCTCAGATAGTTAACTGAAGCCGACTTGTTGTACAATCATTAGCTTGTAAACAATAGCTTTTCCCAACCAGCAATATATAACATTGGCATGCCCTGTGGACTTCTCACTGCTGGGACATCAACAATTCTACTATTATTTATGGAATCGCTTTATTAAAAAGAAAGCTGTTTATCCTCATGGTAATTGCTTTAGATAAAAAAAGGACAGTCATATATTTTTGTCCCTCCCAAATCTCCATCCTTCATTTCACTCCCGTACAAACAATTATCTATGGATATCAGACTTTAAAAAAGGAAAACGCAAGAGCCATCTCAGAGGGAAATAAGAAAATCCTTCCAACATTCTGATACTATGAGTAAATAAAATGTGTTTATCATATTCAGAGTTATAATATTTTACATGCTTGTTCTTTCTTAAGCTGCCTCCTATTCCTACAGAGGCCATCTCACGATTTTTTTTTTTTAACTGGGAGAATTCATAGCTTTGCAGAGAAGATTTTCATGTATTTATTCATTTGTTCCATATATATTAGGTGCTTTGCTGTGTGCTGTGGAATATTTGACAGTAAGCCAGATTAGTATATTTTCCCTTCTCTCTGAAGCTCATGATCCAGGAGGAAGAAATGGTCTAAGCTCATAACGATAGAACACACTAGAAGTGCCATGGAGAATCTTAAGACAGATACTGATGAAAGTGTTCATTGGAAGGAGAAATAGTTCCTGCCCAGGTGAAGGGATGTGTGGAACGTTTAGGAATTAGTAGGATTAAGATAAAGGGAGCTAAGAAATTAAAAGGAATAGCCGGAGAATGAAAAAAGAGATGTTTAAGCAATGCAATAAATCTCAGCTGAGGCCTCTGAAGGGGACTTGGGAAAGTATCAGAACAGGAGAATCATAAATCATAAATGCCATAGAAGCTGATTTTTATTGTTTTGTTTTTGCTTTTCTTTTTGTTTTTCATCATTTCATTGAGAGTAAACATGGTTGGGAACAGAAACCCACAGAAAGGAACGATGTAATTAGAAATATACTTTTTGGGGACCAGCAGTTGGCATAATGGCTATGTCGCTGGATTCCCATGTAGTCAAATGCATGCTGGGCGCGTGTGCGTGTGTGCCCAAGATTCCAAGAGGAGAATGTAGGAGAAGGGATTGTGGCGTGGCCATCCCCCCGGGGGGTGATTTCTTGCTTTCTGTCTCTGTTTCTCTGGCGAGCACACGCACCCTATAGCAAAAACCTCTCCACCCCAAAAAAAAGAAATATACTTTTTGAAGGATATGAACATTGTACAGTAGGTATGCACAATGATCTAGCACCAAACCCTTTCCTACTTCACCACACCCGACTCCCAACTCTGCACCACCCCTAGGGCTATGGGGCCCTAAGGTGAAGACAGCAAGTGGAGTCTTTAGGAGGGCGTCCTTGGCTAACATCCAGAAGCATCCTTGACTAACATCGGCAGAAAGCACAATGTGATATCTCAAGCATCCAGTTTTAGGAAACGAATTCCTGTGAACATTTATATAGGGTAAGCCCTTTTTCATGGCCATAAGAAAAACCCCACATAATAATTATTACAGTAGTATGTAAGAGTAATTAACTTGGGTAGCCAGAACGGATAAAATTCAAAATCTCCGTAAACTGTATTTCCCATTAGTGAAGTTCAGGGTGATTATAGGCCCTTCTTCCTTGTGTAGCAATGTTATCCGGAACAAACTGCTTCCAAGGTAACCTGGCAGGAGAACTCAGTCACATAACTCCAAACAAACTTGGGACAGACTTGGAAGTGTAGGCAGCATGTGTGTGTCTGCTGAGCTTTAGAGCCTTTACCACATACAGGTTCAGTTCCTGTCAACCTCAAAAGCCTTTCCCAAATTCCCTTTAATTATAGTCACCATAAAAGCCATATCTCATAATAACCATAAGTAGGTTATCAGAGGAAAAGGTAGGATATCAATCATAAATTCAACATTGGAGTTAAAAACCTTTGAAAGGATCTTTATCCACTATTCCTGACTACAGCATCCCTATGGCAGGCATTCCACTGATACATTCTTTCATGGATCTCTTAGCTTAACCTTAGAATCCCTAATGGGTATGCCCAAGCCACCCTCAACACTAAAATAATGTTGGTTTACATGCAAACCTAATATAAGTTCCCCAGTAAAGCTCATTTTCCTTCATGTTAAATTTTGTTGACTTCACCACCGATATTGGGAATAGCATTCTGGTCTTGAGATAGTCAAAGTTTAGAATAATTAAAGATAAAAATCTTCACCTTAAGACCAGCAGATGGCATAATGGTTACATCACTGGACTCCCATATAGCTGACTGTGGTTAAAGTCTCAGATCGGGAGGTTTAAAACTCATGCTGGGCATGTGCGCATGTGAGCCCAAGATCTTGAACGAATGGAGGAGAAGGGATTGAAGCATGGCCATCCCTCCAGGGTGATTGCTCACTTTCTGTTTCTCTGTCTCTACAACAAGCACATGTGCCATATAGCAAAAATCACTCTGAAAGAAAGGAAGGAAGAAAGGAAGGAAGGGAGGGAGAAAGGAAGGAAGGAAGGAAGGGAGAAACTTTCGCCCATTTTTATTAATTAGCTCACTTCTTTATTTCATCAATCTGAACCAACTTGGCATAACTCGTGATTAATTTCAGCTTGGTTGAGGCATCTCCCTTTGGTGATATCTCTGGACTTTCATATTCATTCTTCAGAAACCATCTGAGAGTCTACTCTGGGA